ACATGCATATCCTTTGTCAGTGAGAACACAGTGTTTAAGGGAATAGGTCATATTATCTTTGGGAAAAATATAGTCCCCTGTGTATGTGGGTGCCCACCAGGTTAAATTCCTGGTAAAGAGATCATAAACTGGTACTGGTAATGTGTTAAATTGACAAGCTAATTTAACATCCTTTGATGATGTATGATATAGTGTAAAAGAGCATGAGCATGAAAAATGTGAAACATTACCAGTTAACCATTCATTGCATTTAGTGGATTGGGGTTTTAGAAGTAACCATTCATTATCTGTGAGGTCAAGCATCCCTCTAATCTTCTCTAGTTTAGGAATCATTAGTGTGTCTTCTAATGCCAGTCTTTGTTGTTGCATCCATAAATACCTGATGGCACAAGTACTCCAGTTACCAAGATCTGTAGTGAATTTCATAGTTGCAACAGTTAAATTACCTAAATAGTTATACACTGATGTATCTAAATCCAATCCTGTAACCTGTGATTTAACAACAATTGGAGCCCAGTTTGCAGTAGCATGGAAACCAGTCCCTATATGCATGCTGGCCGTGTTTAACTTATTCTTGAGGGTCTCCATGTCTATACTATTTAGTATACCCATAGTGGTTCCAGCACCTCCTAACAGTGTGTCATACCATTCCCTTTTCTGCGTTTTGTTTGCTGTGTTACATATTGTTACAACAGGAGTAGTGATTTTTAATGACACATGTACAGCTTGTAAGAAGGCAGTTGTATTAACACATGTGGACGGAATAGGGGTGTGTGTGTCGTGGTTGACTTTTGGTTCTATGATAGTGGATGAAGGACAGTAATAAGGTGTAAAAATATAAGATAGTGTACAGTTCTCAATCGCAGTGTCATTCATAATGACTAACATTTGTCCCCTTTTAAAATTAATGGTACCAGTTGTATAATCATTATTAAAAATAATAAGGCCTGTCTGTTTACATTGATATGCAACCTTACTAATTTTCTTATAATATATATCCCAAACCTGTTTAGGTGGGTTTTTTTTACCATCAGAACTTATATTAAATAAGGTGGCACAGATGCTGGTGTAATTAGCAACCTTAACTGTGCACATTTCTGCGTTATAAGATCTAACAATTTTCCGTGAACCTTCAAACAAACATAATGCATCGGTTTCATTAGCTGTGGACACAATCCATATGGGTAACTGGTACTTATAAGGGTTATTATTTATCCAGTTCATCCATATGTGTTCAGTCAATGAGTGCTTGCATATTACATGCTGATAGATAGGTGGTGGAGAAAGGTTCTTGAGGGAGCGTGTGTGACGAGTGCTAGATGAGGGGCTAAGGCCTAATTGGGCTTGGGGTATTGAAGAATTGTTCATCATGTCAGAGTCATTTCTCCAGAAACAAACAGGTTTCAAACTTCCCATTGACTTGTACTCATAATGGCATTCAAGGAATAATATCAGAGGGAGTATAACAACTCCAGAAAGCATAGCGCACAACATAATCTTGGTCTCAGGTTCGTATGATCCTCTCAATCTACGATATGGTGTGAAAGCCATGATGCTTCGCTAAGGGGAAATTCTTCTCTTTCCGAGTGAGGAGTGGTGTTGTCTTCCTTGGTTCCCCTCTTTGGACACAGCTTCACTCGGGATGCGTGAATCCAGATGTCGTGGGAATCTGTGAGGACAGCGGTTCTGGTTACAGCAATCACAGTAGCAGGTGGTCCGAAAGGGTATCCTCCTTTCTTGGTCCTATTCAGCTGACGGATATACACCTTGTCACCAGGCTGGTATGGATGAGTAGGTTCCTGTGAAGGTAAGGGAAACTGCGAAGAAACATTGCCATATATACCATTCAGTTTTATCAACAATTCCTGTACATATTGTTCTTGTATTAGCTGTAAATCCCCAGATATTATAACAAGCGGTTCCCTGGCCCAGGGTGTGGGAAAAGGTCGTCCCATCAGAATCTCAAATGGAGATAATTTAGTCACCTTGTGAGGAGTCATTCTTATCTCAGCTAAAATAGCTGGAAGATATTTTGTCCAATTTACCCATGTTCCTGAGGTAGCTTTCATAAGCTTCTCCTTAATGGTCCTATTCATCCTTTCAACTACCCCTGAACTCTGTGGATGATAGGGTATATGAAACTTCCAGGTAACTTGCAAGAATTTAGCAAGTTCCTGGGTAACCTTACTAGCAAAAGCCAGGCCATTATCAGAGTTAATCTGCAGAGGGCAGCCATACCTGGGAATAATTTCAGTAGCAAGAATCTTCACTACCGTCCTAGCATCCTCCCTAGATGTCACAAAGGCCTCAGGCCATCTACTAAACTGATCAACTATGACCAGTAAGTATTGCTGTTTCTTACCAATTTTGGGTACATGAGTAAAATCAATCTGTAAGTGTGTAAAAGGAGCAGCTGGAGGGGGCAAATGTTCGTGCTGTGATTTGTGTGGAATATTCGGATGTGTTCTCATACATGGTTCACACAATCTAACAAAAGACTGTACATGCTGCCTGAGATTCCTAATATAAAATGAATTCATGAGGAATTGGATGGTACTTGCTATGCTCTTGTGGCCAGGACCATGGGCCTGACTGATAAAGATAAAACAGCTGGCTTCAGGTATGCCTATCTTCCCCTCTCTAGAGAAAAGATCATTCTGATCTTTTTCTAAACCTTGTTTAATCCAAAAATCAAAGTCAGATTGCGTTGCAAAGGCTTGGAGCTGCAAAAGCAAACTGTCAGTCGGGCATGTGGGAGGTGTGAGCATAGCAGGAAACATTTCATAATAAAGAGTCTTGGCTGCAACTTCTTTTGCCACTTTGTCAGCCAAGGCATTACCTCTGGAAATGTCGTCACTACCCAGAGTGTGTGCCTTGCAGTGGATAACAGCTACTTCAGATGGGAGTAGGATAGCATCTAGGAGTGATTGGATGAGATTTGTGTGTGAAATGGCTTTTCCATCGGCTCCTACAAAGCCTCTTTGTTTCCAAATCACACCAAAATCATGCACTACCCCATGAGCATATCGTGAGTCTGTGTAAATGTTCACTCGCTGTCCTGAGAAAAGCTGACAAGCACGTGTGAGAGCAATGAGTTCTGCAGCTTGTGCAGACGGCTGGAAAATAGTGTCAGCTTCAATGATTTTATCAGGTAGCTGTACCACAGCATAGCCTGTGAGGTATGTACCATCATTTGGTCTGGAGCAAGAGCCATCCACAAAGACAGTGGTCACATCCGGGCCACTGAGTGCTGTGGAGGAGAGGTCTGCTCTGGGAGATGTGGCAATATGTATTTGTTCAATGCAATTATGAGGCTCAGATGGTATAGACACAGAGTCAGATGCAGAAGTGAGAATAGCATGCAAAACAGACATAGGACCAGAATTAACAGGACTATAAACAATAGACAGATTCTGGGTATTAAGAAGAATAATCTCATAACCACTTAAGTGCTGGGCTGTCATGTGTTGTGTGGTGAGATTTTTTATAAGCTGAGTAACCTGGTGACTGGTATGGAGTATTGTAGTCTCAACAGCCATTGCACATGCTGCCAATGCTCTGAGACACGCCGGCATACCCTGTACCGGAGCTGGAACTACTTTGGAAAAGAATGCTATGGGACGCATACCGCCTCCGTGCTCTTGTGCACAGACCGCGGCCATGGTTTTACAGTTGTCCCGAGCATACAAATGAAATGGTTTACAATACACAGGTAGTCCTAAAGCCGGGGCTTGTACAATAGCAACTTTGAGAGCAATATACGCAGCTAGCATGTCTGGTGACCAGCAGACATTTTCAGGGCTGTCAGAACGTACAGCCTCCCTTAGGATTGAGTCATAATGGGAGCATTCAGGGATCCATTGGCGGCAGTAATTAATCATGCCGAGGAAGGTGAGCAACTCCTTCCGAGTAGTGGGTTTAGGAATCCTCTGAATGACCTCAATACGTTTTGGACTCAAGTGTCTGGTGCCTGAAGCCAGAACAAAACCTAAGTAATCAACCTTTGATTTACACAATTGCATTTTGTGTTTTGCAACCTTGTGACCCACAGTTGCTAAGTGTTTGAGCAAATTGACAGTATCCACAGTGCTTGCCTCATAGCTAGGGCTACATAACAATAAGTCATCAACATATTGCAAAAGGACGGAACCATGACCGGGGGTCCATGTTTTTAGAGTATGTTGGAGTACCAGCGAATAAACGGCTGGGGAATCCACATAGCCTTGGGGTAAACGTGTCCAGGTATACTGACAGCCTTCAAAAGTAAAAGCCATAAGTAGCTGTGTCTCTTGATCAATAGGTATAGAAAAAAATTCATTACTTAAATCAATGACAGTGAAGCAAGTGGCATCATGTGGAATGGCTGTAATGAGGGATGTCACATCAGGGACAATGGGTGCAATGGGCACAATTAAACTATTCAGGGCTCTAAAATCCTGAACTAAGCGATAACCATTACCTTTAGGAACTGGATTAATAGGTGTATTATATGGAGAAACTACTGGCTTTAGTATTCCCTGCTCTAGAAAAGATTGGATCATGGGGCGAACTCCCTCAACCTTGGCTTCTGACAGGGGGTACTGTTTAAGGTAGATAGGAGTTACAAAGCCAAACTAAAACCAGCTGTAAGGGGTGCAGTTGACAAATCCTACATCTAACTTAGATGAAGCCCACACAGAAGAAGGAACATCAGACAAATCAATAGTTTCAGAACACAACATAGACACATCAATACCACCAGAGGGCGTGCAAGTAATAGTAGCTCCCAGAATACCAAGAAGATCCCTTCCCAGCAAATTGACAGGACATTTAGGTATTAAACGAAAAGGGTGCACGGTAGAAGAACCATTAAGAGGACAAAAAACAGACAGTGGTGGTGTGACAAAAGTGGGGGTTGACACTCCATTAATACCCAATGAAGGTGTAGACTTTTCCCTTGTCCCCTGATAATAGGTATCACAGAGACTGGAACACGTAGCTCCAGTATCTACCAAAAATGGCAAGGATCTACCTTCTATGACCAGAATACAAAAAGGCTGATCATCATTAGTAGAGGACAAAAGTGGAAAAGTTGGAGTGTCACCTTCAAGGCAGCCCTATTGGGGCCATGGGATGTGATGGGTGTGCTGGTCAGTGGTACCTGTGAATGGCCCTAATGCAGTTTGGGTTTGCTGGAGCGGGGGGGGAGAGGGAAGTGCTGGCCAGTGGTGTTGGGAGTGGGCCTGGTGTTGTTCTTGCCTACCGGGCGTATTTTGATAATTGTGGGGTTGTTGGGGCTGCTGGGGTTTCCTGGGGTGTGGACACTCATTCCTCCAGTGGCCATGCTGGCCACAGTTGAAACAAGTGTTCCTGTCTATTCCTCCTTGGTTACCCCTGCCCCTATAACCCTGATTTCCCTGTCTCCATCCCCTTGCCCCTCTTTGACCACCCCTTCCACAGGCTCTATGTGCTCCATCCCATCCTCTCTCTCGGGCCTGTGTAGGTGGACAGTGTTGCAATCCCTGAGCATAATAAGCAACCTTACTTCCTGAATCTTTTCTTAAATCAAAACAACCTGCATTTTCCTTCTCAATAACCTTGGTAAGAAAATCTGAGCCACCCAAATTGGCCCAGTCTGAAATCAACTGTTTCACAAGCAAAGAATACTGTGGCAACATATTACCAAGGCATGACTGTATTTTAAGGAGATCCATATCATCTCCAGACTTCAAACCTGCCTCATCCTTCCAACACTTGTAAAATCTCTTTACAAAAACACCAATCTCTTCCTTTGCACCTTGCTTACATGCCAAAGCAGTGGATATAGACTGCTTATTCTTCCATAATCTCAACATTTCAGCTTCCACCTCATCCCACATTTTAGCACATCCTGCTGAAGTACTAAGCTCATAAACACCATCACTGCCAGCCACTCCAACTCCAGTACCGTTATCTGTCTCACTGATAGAGGGTACATTAGACCAATTCCAACCAGAATCTGAATCATACCCTAATATTCCATTTATAATTAACTGTATGTCTATCTGTGTCATGTTCTGTCCTAAACACATTCTTTTCAGATACATTAGGCATGCAGAGGGATTAGTACGGGGGTTTGGGGCACCTTGAATAATATCCTTGAGTACTCCGGGATTAATGGGTTTCATTATTAACTGATTACCAACAGTCATAAACGGGGCAGTAAGATCAGCACCTTCTAATTCTGGCATCTCTACATCATCATCATCTTGCTTATGTACATATGATTTTAACACCTTGCCACTTTTAAGTTTAACTCCTGTTTGTACTGTTAATTTAAACTGTACCAGGAGGTGGCGGTGGGTATTCTATATCAGAATCTGGTGTAGATGATGATTCCTGTAATTGCTGTGATTGTGAATTAACAGCTGCAGCAACAGAAATATCCTCTATATCATCCTCTGAGGGGGCATTAGGTACAGCAGGATACATTGCTTTATAGGGAGGGGGGGGTTGTGGTTGGGCATGGCCGGGGGCTAACTGGGTAGGGGGCACAGTTGGTGGTGGATATAGATTATCAGGAGGGGCTTCTATAGAAAAGCAAATAGTATTACTGTCAACAGTTCCCTTTCTCTTAGCCAGGTGTTTCTTAGCTCCCTTTAAAACCTTTCCTGTTACACTAAAAGGATACCAATGAGGGGCTATCAGCAACCAATTTTCACCTCCTGCTTTCATATATTCCTTATCCCAATCTGGATCAGGACCATACCACGGCCATGACTTCCTATCTCCCAAACACAATCCTCGAATCATATTCATATGGAAATCATCATTAGCCCCAGACCTGGGAAAAGGATCAGATGACTTCATAGTCTCTGTCCATCCTGCTAAATTTGACACAAAGGGGATTGTAAGAAATCCTCCTTGTGCTCCTATTCTAGTAACATAATTTAGACATTGTTCCCTTGGGTGGGGTAAAGGGTAAGAAATAGACTGATTATTTCCCATATTTCTGGCTCAGGGTAGAGACACTACCTACTTACCAATAGTGTGTCTCTACTTAACAAGCAAAATAAACACAAAGCAGACACAGGGTGACCAAAGGAACGAGAAGTTTGGGTTATTCTAGATCTATGAACATTGTTCCCTAGAACACTTATAGTATTAATAAACCGGAGACTCCTTTATAGTCTCAAAACCTGTATCTACCTGAGATACCCTGTATCTATCTTAGATACTAACCTGGGTTACCAAAACCCTATATATTTAGACCAAATGTCTAATAAACCCTATATATATTTAGACCAAATGTCTAATAAACCGGAGACCTATTTACAGTCTCAATATAACTAAGTCCTTATACCTTTCCTTTCTACTGGATACAGACTTACTAAACCAAAGGGGGTCATAGACAATTAGCGTCAATAAGACACAAAAAGGCTACTCACCCAATGGTTTTGCTGATCCCACTTCTAGACACCAAGCTGAAAGGATAAATGCTGTTCTGGACTCAACTCCCCTCGATTCTCGCTCCTTCGATCACCACATCAATTGATGGGAGATCTTGTTTAGCAAATAAGACACACAGACACGAAAGAGTGCATAACAAGTTCTCAATGAGTATATTTTCAGGGCTAGCATTTATACACAATTTCTCATGCAAGCAGTGAAGTCTATAGTGTCCTTGTGGTTAATAGTACATACTTGTTGGACATGAAAAAGATAAGCATTTGGATGAAGACGAGACAGGAACATCCTAAGGTCAAGGAAGGTCATACATCCTGTAGAGGAAAGACCTTGGTACAAAATACATCTGCCAAAGTCAGCATAATTATTTCAAACATTATTTTAAAGCATATAAAGCAAAAAGAGTTAACCATTTCACTTCCTTACAGAGGCACAAAAAAAATATAATAAATTCTACTCCTCCTACTAATGTCTTAATTCCTCCAAGCTGCTCATACCAACTTCCAAACCAACTACTTAGGTTATACCCATTCCAGACCTGAGTAGGTACATGCACAAATTTAACCATGTGGCTTGTAAGTTCAGCCACTGCCTGCCCTTCATCATCTATGTGCAGACAACAGTTACTTAGATTAAACTTTCCGCATACACCTCCTTCTACTGCTAGTAAGTAATCAAGGGCTAGCCTATTCTGGTATATGGCTGATCACATCTTGGTATTTTGCTTAGCTAGAAGATTAAGCGCTTGAGCTGTCTCATTAGTAATAATCTCAACCACCGCCTGTAGTCTAATAATGCGGTTGAGCATATATATCGGAGTTCTATATCCATAAGTGCCATCTTCTGCCCAAGTAGCAGGTCCATAATAATTAATAATACGTTGAGGGGGCCACTCATTATCTTCCCAGCTACCTATATTCAAGGATGCTCTCTCCCTTTTATGATTTACATCGTAAACCTTAACTCCCAAGGTCTCTCCTGTTTCGATTGGCAACAAGAAGAAGGATGGCTTTGGCATACCTAATACACATGCCCCTTCCCAATCTTGTGGTAACTCTGAATAAGCTTTCCTACCACAGATCCAGTATAAATTTGCTGGGGCTTTCCAACTAGATGTAGCCAAACCATACCTCCTTTAAATGAGTGTAATTGGCAAACGGATTAGTAGGTTCCAAGACATTTGAAGCTGACCACCAAGTAGTATTTTAGTATTAACATTATAGGCTTTTTGTCCCAAGCAAGTTAGCTCACCTACAGACGTGTTATACATTGTCCCTTTCCTGGCTATCCAAACATGACCTATAATGGAGGTTTTTAACCACCATTCCGATTTACTTCTAGTACTTACTTGATGATCAGACTGGAAAGGTATCTGTTGTACATATGTCTCAGATCCAGGGTACCATATTTCCTTTGCCTCCCATGGCCACTGGTCTCCCATATTAGTACCTTCACACACATAGCAATTAGTTACATTAAGACTACCTGCAATACCCTCAGCCAAATCAATAAATAGGTTCTTAACATTATGGGGAATTTTATCCTCAATACTCATCTCCTCATAGAAGGAATGAGAAACCTGATGAGTTTGAGTTGCCACTGTCTCAGTTTCAAGACCTACATATATTATTGTTCCTGGATCTACTCCTGTGCCATATATTTGGAACCCAAACAGACCTCCAAACCTGTCAATAAAGTGCTGCAGATTGGAAATGGTCATGTGAACGGGGTTACACACATAGTTTTACAGTATGGTGTGGTAGGCAACCTTTGGATAATCATATCTTGATCCACTGTTTTTCCCAGGTTGCCCAACCTACACATGACCAATAGGGGCAGAAGTTAGTCTCTATTTGGGCAATCAGGATCAGTAGATCTTTTACTGGGACATAAGTATTTATCATTAAACCCATAAGTTCGTTCCCATTTAAGATTACCACATACATTCCAAAGTCTTCCACTACCCGAAATCGCCTTACATGCATCAAATAGTAGAATACCCGTGGAATGTATGGTGCTTATCACAGTCCTATTTATTAATGTCCCCTGGGAATTACTATTCCTAATTACCAACCAAATTGTACGGGGTTGGAATTGGGGATCGAAACATTTAGACTCTCCTGATATTGGCTTGCACACACTATGATCAATATCCAAATATCTACATTTAGATACAGATCCCTTACATTCATACTGTGAGTGCCAGATGAGAGTTTGGGATATTTGCTTACCTGTTTTAGTAGTCTTAATGCAACTATCGCAATTCGGTATGTCTGTACTCCTACCTTCCTGAAAAATCATAAAAATACTAAGACATAATAAAACACATTATTCCTGAAATCCTCATTTTTCTTCAACCGTGCGATGGCCTCTCAGCTTCCCGATTGTGAGGGCTGCAAGGATGTTGTTCTTCTGATCCTCACTTTCCTTCACAGAGATCCCTTCAAGATACTCTGGCTATGACACGTAGGCAGGTGGTCAGGCTTTATTATGGCCGCCAAAACACCTACTTGATGATCTCTGTAGACTTTTAACTAGAATGTCTCGATATCCCCTCGTCACTCCGACTGAGTTGCATGCTTCAACCGGGTCCTGCAAGGATTCTCAGGATCTGGAGTAGCTTGCCAAGAGTCTGCCGCTGGTTTAAACTTAGATTGATGAATCCAAGGAGTCACTTCCGCCACCTTTACAGCTGTTGGGGTAGATAAAAGAACAACATACAAAGGCTAACAGGATACACCCTGAGCTTTAACTCAATATGTATTGGTGGGATATTACGAGCAAGTCCTGGAGGATTATTTTCTTCCCATACTCCTGGAATGTCAAATAAGGATTCATCACTCTTAGGGTTAACACTTATCACTATGGAATAGAAGCGTCATTCTTCTTCCCTTGGCACCGATATCACCATTATGCCTGGTAATCCCTTAAACTTCAGAGATGTTAATCCATTAGGTAAAAGGTTATCTGAGCTTAAAGCTTCGATAATAGATCTCGTCCTAAAAGTTGAATCGGACACTCTGGCATATATACTTCACCACATGGCCTCCCAGAATACAAGTGCGACTCTTAAGAACCGGTCTAGCTGCACTTCTCCCAGTAGCTCCTATCACAGTTATAGTCTTCCCCGAAGGCGGAGCCACCATCTTAGTCACCACAGAATGTTCAGCACCTGTGTCGATCATGAAAGAACTTCTCTTTCCCCCTATTGCTACATCGACCATAGGCTCCGCTCGACCAAGTGGGATGGAGCCCAGTCGGTATCAATAGTCTTCCATGATAGTGTCAGCCAGACCCACAAAATCTCTATCCTCTCTTTCTCTAGGTCTCTGCGTGGGTGGATAGTATCTGTCTCCTTGAACACTTCCTCTACTATTCCCACCATTCCCTCTAAAACTTCCTCTTCCTCTATAACTACCACTATAAACTCCTCGTACCCTTCTCTCTCCTTGTCTATCACCTTCATACTGCTCTCTCTGTGGACACTCACTCTTCCAATGCCCCTCCTTTCTACAATACGCACATTGATTCCTACTTAAAGGTCCCTTGCTCAGCCTATTCTCGTCTCCTCTATTCACTTCCCTGTCTTTCTACACTTAAGATAGCTACCGCTAGCATATCTGCCTTTTTCCTCATCTTACGTTCTTCCTCCGTCTCCCTATTCATATATACTGTATTTGCAATCTCCATTAGCTGTAATATGGACATCCCTGCAAATCCCTCTATTTTCTGTAATTTCCTTTTAATATCACCTTGGGCCTGGCTGACAAATGCTGAGTCTATCATTCGGAAGTTTTCAGGGGCTTCAGGATTGAAAGGAGTATACAACCTATTTGACTCAAGCAGTGTCTAATATGGGACTTCGGCAAAGCTGCCCAATAATAGGTTCCAGTCTACGGGTAGTAAGATAGGTGCAAGGGGGTGAGCTAATTTTACTAGTCAGCATTTGGTGGATGAAAAAAACGTTGTTTTTAAAAGTGTTAAACCCATAACCTACCAGTAGGTGTCACCAGAGGGTAATTTGTATCAAAATAATCTTTATGGGTCTAATAATAAAACTCAACTTTTAATATATTTATACATAAAATAAAACCTTATAGCAATAAATATATTAAAATAGGGTAAGCAATCCTACATCTATCTGTTATAAACAATGTATTATCAATGTAACTCCCGAAGATGGCCAGTAGGTGGCTTAGAGTGCCTCCCTAAAGTCAAATGAAACAAATAGACTTTAATTAATGATGTCCCTATTTTATTATTACTTATTTTAATCACTGTCCACCCTGATATCTAGGCTTGATTAAATCTTTAGTTCTAAGGTAAAAAACTGGGGCCCATCCAGTAACAAAAAAAAAAACAATATACCATTTTATACCATTGATCATTGATTAGGGGGAGGGGTAGTACAGAAATACAAGAGTTTGAAACACAGGAACAGATAGGTATGTGGGTAGGCGGGGACAGTAGAGCAGGGGGAGTGCAAATACTGACTATATACCAGTTTTGGGAGTAAGAAATGGGCGTGGCTAATCTGGCTCTGGAGGATGTTTGGGGGGTTGGTAATCAGATGCCAGGGGGGAGGGGATGTCCAAAGCAGTTGTAATTAAGTCCTTAGTTCTGACCACCATATGGCTACATTGTTTCCCATATGACACAGTTTAACTCACCAAGGCAATTTTTCAACAATCAATCAGTTTCCAACAGTCAATGTATAGAAACTGATCATAGAATTCTTTTTTTTTAATTAATTCTTTATTTTTCTTGTGCTTATGGTTACAACATGCTTGCAGCGCCACGACGGCGTGTACAAGCTATTCAATATCATACAGTGTCATGGCAGAGCAAACAGCACATTTATTTTTGAGATATAACAGGTTTGGTACAAGTGGATAGAACTTTTATAGCTAGTTTATGCATGCTAAGTTAAGTAGTGTGGATATGGTTCTTAAGTTACAGGCTATGCAAGTTAATGACAGGTATAGATTTTCTACACTGCTTGGATTTAAATTTAACCACCAGGGGGCAGCGAGCCTCTGAGTTTGCTGGATAAACTGACATGTAGGCTTATCTATTTTTAAATGAGTTACATGTGGGTCTGCTGAATAGGGTCAGCTGCAATAATGCTAGACATAACAGTATGAATAAAAACTAAAACAGAAGACACAAAGCGTTCTGCTGGGCTTTTGATTGTGGTTATACAGGGTTAGCAGTCACTTAGTTACTCCTGCAGCTGTGCGGGGTCGGCTGGTGTCCTGGCTGTAATCAAGTCCCTGGTGTTCCCCGCTGGTTGCGTGAGTGCCCAGGCACTTGTTGGCCAGGAGTACGTTTGGTCTCATGTCCGCAGGCTTCAGCCTCAAGTATGAAAAGAGGCTTGTGTCCTATGTCCGTTGCACTTCTGTGCCCATTCAGGGTTATAGTCCCAAGTGAGTCCCCGCAGATCTACCGGAGACCATGTGAGATGCTGCCTCAGATAATATATAAGCTGTGCTTACATGCTGACTGTGCCCTCCTTAGAGTCGTCTGGTGGGTGGAGAGAGTGTGTTGTTGTTTGCGGGACACAGTCAGTGCTTGGTGTTCTGGTCCACCTCTGTTTCCAAACGGTGCCCAGCGGTTGCTCTATTGCTGCCACCTCCATTCTCCAACTAGTGAGGGACGCGGTGGCCATCTTGGGTTTCGCCATGCGGTCCCTAGTCTTTCGGCTCGCCGCCCAAGCGTCATGAGTGATTGCTTCTCCGGTGGGGTCCGGAATAACCCCCCCGGCCCACGGGGGGGGGAGAACTGGGCCCTCAGTAGGCGTGCGAGAGGTCCCGCCGGACTAAGCACGGGAGACCGGCCGCATCTCCCGCCAGAGCCTCGCGACGGGCCGCAATCCCAGCTGCCCAGTAAACAGCATCGCCGGTAGGACGGGGGTCGGTATGTGCACCAGGAGTTGTGCTCAGGTCCCCTGTGTCGCCTATTAGCAGCTGTGTGGCTTTTTCAGGGGAGGAAGAGTTATTTGAAGCTAAATGTTTAGGTTTCATGGAGGAGCCGAGCTGTTCCACGTCCATCCAGCTTGGCGGTCAGGCCCCGCCCCCCTGATCATAGAATTCCAGCCTACTAGTTACAGCCACATGTACACCCTGCACTAAATTTAAGTGAAGACTGCTACATGGAGGCCATGCAGCCACCAGGACAGGCTACTCCCTACTTTTTTTTTTTTTTTTTTTAAACATACAAGACAAAGGACCAACAGCCGTGTGAATCAGAAGATTATTTCAACAGAACGTCTGATTCAAAAAGCTGTACAAATATACACACAGTTTCAAGTCACACCAAGCTCCTTATCACCAGCAACACATTGCACAGTCACTAGGCCCAAACACACACATGCACGCACACACAGGATCCTCACATGCTCAACAATATCACGACGTCGCACACACGAAATTAAATCAAAAAAACACCAAAGACTATACACTTATCAATTAACTATTATTCAAACCATACAACTATCCACGCTATTAATCCATATAAACTAACCGATCACATAACATTTCAACAAATTCATCTCTACAATTATCCGTACTATAAATCAACTTTTGACTAACCAACTATATCACATTCTAGTAACCTCATCTTTACAGTCAGTGGTTATGGTACAGTTAGTAAGTGGTTATAATACAGTTTTAAAGTCACAGATCAGTTAGTAACAGTTATGGTATTATACATATAACATAAAACAGCAATTGTTAGTAATTTTTACACAATGTCAGTGGTTATGGTACATGTCAGTAGTTATGGTACCGTGTGCTATTTTACAGTTATACACACAATTTACACTCCCACTAGACAGCAGAGCTCTAACTTTCTAGTAGGACATACAAGTTAATCAATTCACCAACTACAATATATTTAACAACATTTACAATAATCCCAACTATTCTAACTGGCCAGCACCTCGAGAGCTTTCGATCTATTTATACACCAGAGATTCGATAAGTTCTTTGCTGCCCAGACACCACGTATAGCGAACTAGAGGGCAGAATTTACACAGTACCCAGCTAGTCTATGAAACCATCAATAATCTAGTGGCTGGATTTACAACAGAGCACACTTAGTTAAGATAGGGTGAAATCTAGCAGACGGAATATACACCAAAGTTCTGCTAGTCTCCCGGTACCCCCGACCTAGCAAACAAAATTTGCACCCTAGATACGCTAGTCAAGACAGGACACCGGTGTCCGACATGAGCTATTTACACCAGAACTCAGTCTGACCCAAACCACCTATATTAGACGGGCTGACTACAGAGCGTCTAATGTCCAGATAAGTGTTGCACTTTCGCTTCTTCCATCCCTTAGGACAGGGCAGATTCCAATAACCGGTTCCAAATATAAAACCCCTTGTGGGTCTACCGCTCTAATGGTATCAGTCTTACCTGTTAGTTTCTGGACCTGGGTTCACTCATAGACGGAACACCCCGGTACTCACTGCGCAAAGGCCGATGATCTCCTGAGTGAAGCAGCCCAGTGGCGCCGAGATGAAGGGATGTCCACGCAGTAGAAGTCCAGGGGTGCAGCGTAGAGGATTTGGTAAAAGTTTACCGTCTCAAATCTCTGCGCCAGCTTCCGTGTGATGAGGTTCCCACTGCCAATGCACCAGAGATGCATGCAGAAGCCAAACACAGAGATTTGGACACAAGTCTTCAGGAAGTAAGAGGCCTTTATTCACATTACCGATCGGGTCTCAGATGAACTCCTGTTCCAACTTTCTGAGAGACCAACACATAGTGTACATTCCTTATATAGCACTATAACTCCTCCCAGTAATAGCTACACCCACATATACCTTTAACCAATCTATGAGCAGAATATAGACTTGTACATCTAGTCAAACCACATGGCTCATCCAAGACAAAGGAAATAAGTGCAATTTCAGTTCCTGCATTCCTGCACATGCTCAGTACACTGATGACAGTATCCTAGCTACGTGTAGCTAACTAACTGACACAACATACACATATGCCACATGGAGATTTTGGCCTACTAAATTTTGACCATGCTGGAATCCCATCACATTTCTGCTTGAATTTGTTTGCAAGATGTCAGAATAGCCTCCCAGAGCTGCTGCTTGGATGTAAACTGCCTCCCACCCTCATAGATCTTTTGCTTGAGGATGCTCCAAAGGTTCTCAATAGGATTGATGTCAGGGGAGTATGGAGGCCACACCATGACTTTCTCTCCTTTTATCCCCATAGCAGCCATTGATGCAGAGGTATTCTTTGCAGCATGAGCTGGTGCATTGTCATGCATGAAGATGATTTTATTACGGAAAGCATAGTTCTTCCTTCTGTACCAGGGAAGAAAGTGGTCAGTCAGAAACTCCACATACTTTGCAGAGGTCATCTTTACACCTTCGGGGACCCTAAAGGGGCCGACCAACTCTCTTCCCATGATTCCGGCCCAAAACATGACCACCACCTTGCTGACGTTGCAGCCTTGTTGGAACAGGGTGGCCGTCCACCAACCATCCACTACTCCATCAATCTGGACCATCCAGGGTTGCACGGCACTCATCAGTGAACAGGACTGTTTGAAAATTAGTCTTCATGTATTTTTCTGCCCAATGCAGCCGTTTCTGCTTGTGAGCATTGGTTAGTGGTGGCCGAATAGAAGGTTTATGCACAGTTGCAAGACTCTGGAGGACTCTACACCTTGATGTCCATGGGACTCCAGAGGCACCAGCAGCTTCAAATATCTGTTTACTGCTATGTAATGGTAT